GCAAGATATAGGAGATTGCAGGAAACTGAATGAGAACCAGGTAGTACTTCACTAGCTGCTTCTTTTCATTTAATCCAGTCATAAACTGATTTTATTGAGACATTTGTTGTTCCCTCCTTAGTTCTAGTGCAGAGAGAATGATCAGATTTAATTGAAGTCCTGGTTTGTTGAATCAACAAACTGTATCATTATATCATTACATGCTTTCTCTCCTCTCACATAAACCATGCCTCTAGGTTTTTGTTCTGTTGTACGTGGGGTTGCTATGGGTCAGAGCTGACTCGACAGCACCTAACAACAACGACTAGATTTAAATTTCAGTGTTAGCCATCTAGGAACAGTAATGTAAATTTGTTAATTATAATCTAGTTTCTCTTAGGAATCATTGATATCAACTCCCAATTATGTGATATTTTAATTTACAGCAGTGCTAGGTGCTAATAGATAGTTGAAGAAAGTTGGTCTGCTTGACTTTCAGGTCTCATTTTACGTGATCTTTTTTAAAATAAGCAAAAAGCAAACTTTGTATTATTTATGATTTAAAGGCTGAAGAGGATTCCCACCTGGATGGGGCTGTTCCGATCCCTGCAGCATCTGGCAATGGGGAGGATGACCTCCAGCAGGCCATCCAGGCTGTGGTTGATAATGTGTGCTGGCAGATGTCTTTGGACCGAAAGACCACGGCGCTGAAACAACTGCAGGGCCACATGTGGAAAGCGGCATTCACAGCTGGGTGCATGAAAGCAGAGTATGTAGCTGTTCAAGTGACTCTAAACATTTTTCCAGCCCCAAATCCAAATACACTTTTTACCAGTCCTCTCTCTCACGTGTACATTGCATGATAAGTAAAATAGATAATACCAAAGTTCTTGTTGTTCTAACAAGTGAGTGTTTTGTTTTGTTTCTTTCAAAGCTAGGCTAAAGCATTTCATGCATGTCTGGTTTGGTGGGAGGGTTGAAGACTTTTAATCCCAGTTTAAAATAGCTTCCTAGACAATGGTGAATTCCTTGAACTAAGTCATATTTGATCCTTAGCACGTGAGTGCTGCTTCCCAGGACCTTTAGATTACTTGCTTTCTGCTCTGTTAAATAAGAAAGCTATGAAATTAAGCACCCTGTCACTTTGGGGTTTCTCAGAGAGTGTCAGCAGTGCCACTCTGTTCTGTGCTCTTTTGAGCAATTTCCACAGATCTTTTGAGTCTTAGTTGTGGAGTTCCCTGATAGCACTCCTGCCTAAGGAGACTC